TTTCTGTATTGTTAAGAATTTCCACTCATTTTTTAACCAAACTTTGCCTTATCTGTAAGTTTATAAAACTGCTGGATTATTTTAAAAGAAGATGGGCCTCAGTTTCCAGATCTGTGGTGAGGAACCACTGTACCTAGCGAGTAGGGATCATTTTTAGGCCATATCTTACCTTGATCCAATGACATCAAAAAGATGCTGCCAGCGGTCGTTAATTTTGTTGAGCTTGTCGTCAATCTCAGCGGCTCTTGTCTTGTTGCTGGCCTTGATCAATTGGTCACCCATTTGCTTTAATTGTAACTTGTTCTCACTGAACAAGTTTATTTCTTCCATGCAGTCCTGGCAAAGGCACCAAAACACAAAGCTTCACTTACAACCCAAAATTCATTTCTTTGCCAGGCACAAGCACACAGCTGCCTCTCGAAACTTTTTAAAAAATTGAAAAGCGTCTTACACCTGTGAGTAGCTAATGAGCCAAACCATGCCCTCTGAGCATATGTGTAATATGTAAGGCAGTAGTTATGGTACTTTCTTAATTCCATAGCCGTGGTTCCCCCTTACAGACTTCTTCTCATCTAACCTACTTGGGAGTTGAGGATGACTGAATATAACTATATTAGCCTGATATCAGTAAGAGCTTTCCTGAGGTTTAACTGAGTGGTACGAATGTTCTTTCTACCTTCCCCGGTGGGGATCAGTGACTGTTCGACAAGGGGAGCTCCTTAACAATAACAACTAGAGAAGCCATAACTCACGTGGGGTGTGAACTGATGCTTGGGGAGATGGGGACCCCTTGTCTGGCCAGCCTTTCTGAGAGAAAGTAACTCCTCTCAGTACACAGTACCATGACCACCTCCCATGGCCCCACCTACCCGTCTCTCTGGAACCCTCACTTACCAGCTCTTCTCTGAGGAGGAACAGTAAGAGTGAGAAAGTGCCTGCACATTTCTAATATGTTATTGGAGACATACCTATAACATTACGCTGCTTTGAGCAGGCAGTGAGGCGGGCAGAGAGTTCCGCGGTGGTCGTAACTGCACCTATCTGGGTATTCCTGCTTACCTTCTGTAACTTTTCAATCATCTCTTCAATACTAATATCTGCTGTTTGTAGAACTTTGTTTTCCATCTGCACCAGCCATGCACACAACTCTTTATTTTTTTCATTGAACACAATCCATGAATTGAGTCTGTCTTCAATCTCCTGTTTGCGTACAGCCACCTGGAAACAAAATGCAGTTGGCAGCTGAGTACAGGCATGGAAAAAAAATGTTGCCTTTCCCTTCCCCCCATCAAAAGGGCTATGAATTTCATTCACTTTAATCAGGAGCCCTATAGACTTATATTACTATGTTTTTGCCTCTTAAACTCCTACGGTTAACATCATCAGAAGTTTATTACTCCTTTGATAAATGTCATAAAAAGCAACAAAATAAAGATTGTACCTGAGTTGTAACTGAACAAA